CACTGTACATTCTTGGAAAAGGAATCAAGGGGCATATTCCCAACCAACATATACCAAAAGAATTATAAAAAATACCATCAATACAGGATGATGCTGATATGCAAAAACCACACCAATCACAGCAGCTGCTGTTTTAGAACAAAGATCTGAGCTCACAATTTCTTTATATTAATAGAAAAAGACCTATAAAATTGTGCAAGGCAGGAAGAGGCTCAGAAAGAAAGCTAAATGCACTAAAGTTAGCAGGATTTTCCCCTACAGTGACCACAATACACTTATATCTTGATGGAAAAAATAAGAACAAATCCTTGAAGTGATGTGAATGTGCTGCTGTAAAGATGTCCTTCATAAATTATAGCTAGAAAGAGCTTTACAAGTAAAGAATAGTCCATCATGCTATTCCTGTCTTAAATTCACTCCTTTTTTATTATTTATGCCATTAACATTCACATCTTAGTCTTCAAATTGGACATCAACTTGCCAGCAGTAGTAGAAATTACTCTGAATAGCCAGACAAAAAAAATTTGTGCACTAGAATATGGTAGGCAATCTATCTGAAATCTTCTTGATCAATTGGCAACTGATAAGAATTGGACTTCAGTTACCACAGTCAGATTTTCATCTGTTGTGTCTGCAGCTTTCCTGGAGAATTTTGCTAGCCTTTACCTTGAGCCACACCTTATCGGCAGACAGTAGGACTGCTCCTCCTCCGTAGAAACAACTTTCCTCCTGCTGGTATTAGCATTAGCTGTCAGCTAACATTTAAATATGACTAAATGAAAATACTCCAGCAAGTTCCAGAGAAAATGTTTATCATGAAAAGTTTATCATGTGTATTACAAAAATAAATTTTGGATAAGAAATATTTTACTTCAAAGAACTTTATAATGCATGTGCAGCTCTTTCGTAATTTTATTTCAACAGCAACAAAGATCTAACATGATTATTCCTCACCTAAGCTTTTTGGGGAACATATGATGTAATAAAGTCACTTATAATAATTTGTAATGGAGAAGTCCTGTTTTGACACAAGCCATTGTCTATGGTCTTTTTTTAATTCAGTAGAGTAATGGATATATTAAGGGTAATGCTATATATTATTTCTCTGTGATCAAACAATTCCTTATTGCTTTATGCTGAATTAAACCAAAGACTAAATAATCTTTCATACTAAAAGCTAAAACAGAGCATGTTGGATTCTGGTTCCAGTCCTTCACTCATTTATGAGTTTTGCATTAAAAAGCTATTGAACTAAAAACAAAATAAACAAACCAAAATTATTATCAGGTGATAAGTATGGGTTTGCATTCCATAAATTCAGACAGCTAAAAAATCTTATATTTCTTTGCTAAGTGCACCCTAACTATGATTACTTGAATGAAAAAAACTGCTATGTTTTATGCTGACTTCACTGCTGCTGATGTGCGCAAAGGCCCCTGGGTCAGTTGAGCCAGCACTCTGGCTGGTGTCATAAGTGAATTTAAGACCAGAGGTAGACAAGACTTTACCCAGGGTGCAGACAGAAACAGTTCCACTTTGAGCAGGAGGTGTTCTGGATGACCTCCAGAGATCCCATCTCACGCTCATTTCCATGACTCTATAAGGAGAACTGCAGTCACTGTTAAGAATTTTCAGTTTACAGAAGGTTGAACCTAGCAAACCTAGTAAATTTAATTGACTCAAGACTGTGTGGATTTTGGACCGAAATTTGGGACTTTTAAATCTGTGTTCCAGAGTAGAAGGAAACTGTTTCTTGCTTATTTGTACAAAAGAAAACCCTACTACTACGTAGTCTTCCTCTGGGGCTTTACAGATTCTTTTAAAAGTATCTTTAATATTTTTAGATATTTTACAGGAATTAATATTTTGCCACTCTAAGTTGTTTGAATTTTTTCAACTAGCAATTAAACATTTTTCTCACTTCCATTTATTGTGAAAAGTTCACTAACTTTTTGTCACAGAAAATCTTTACGGGCTCTTTATTAAATTCTTCGGATTTTGTTTCTTTTGGATATTTTTGTCTGGAAATCTAGTATATTGGTTCAATTTTTTTGTTATTCAAAATCTCTGTTCATTGAAAAGTGAAGGCAGGAAATGATAGATCAGATCTCTCAAGCTATAAACAAGACTAAAGAAAGTAGCTGTCTTCAGGGGATGATGTGAAATTGTCAAGGCAATAAGATCTATCTCATAACAATGTTAACTGGTAGGATTTGCATGCCTCATGAGGGTTTACTGTCTTCCTGACTACTGATAAAGTCCCTTCATAGCTGCAATTCAGGTTCCCCATTTACACTGGTCAACCAGTGTTCATGATCAAGACTTCATTTATCAAAGGTCAAAGAAAATTCTGATTACTGTCTAAATCTGATATAAACAGCTGCAGAAAGCAAGTGAAAGGTTGTGTTGGTCTGTGATAAAGACCTGAAAAAGTATTGAACTGTATGCAAATAATATAACAAATGTTATATTTGAAGACTAGCACTTCTAGTCATCATCAAGTAATCTTCTGTGTGCATAAATTCCCTGTAGAAATGAAAATTGAATTACATTCTAGCCAAGATTTCATCTGTGAATATGATTTTTAAACTAGGATCTCTTTAAGTGGAGGCAATTAGAATATCTTTGCACCCTATAAACTTAAATATCCATCTAAAATGCTGAGATTATATGCCTCAGTGGGGATACTGGCAAAAGCTATAGACCCAAAAGCTTCAGTGCCACAGAACACAAACAATTATGCTTTTGGATGCCATTGGTGACTGAACTTTAAAACAAATGGTTGGTCCTCCTGTAAAATCTCAAGCACATTCCAGATAGATTTAGGAAATTGGGAATATACTAACAGCACATTTGTGCTGCAGTCACACTATTTCAGTCTAAAAATATTCACAGTCAGCATCTCCTATGAATATTACAAACAATATATTTAACAAGAGTAATAGCAATGGCTTAAGGATAAGTTTTTAATACCTCCTCTTCAATGTGAAAAATGGATTTTGAAATATCTGAGTTTTTCATCTTAAAATGTTGCATTTGTCATCATTGTTAATAAAAGATTGCTTAAAAAGATTAAGACGTTTTTACTAAGGTCCTTCAAAATATGAAACTCTAAATTTCAACTCAGCTGAACACCAATATGTGCTTAACAGCTTACAACAGTAAAGACAAAAAAGAGCTACACCTACATAAAGCTCACTCAGATTTGCTAAGGATAGCCTTTCAGTTTGTATTTTCACCCTCGAGTCCTTCAGTAAAGCTACATTCCCCTTAAGAATTTTGCTTCAGCTTCAGCATGGCCAGGATTTTCTCCTACATTCTGTTACCTTTACATATATTTACTATGTTGGCCTTATTTCAGCAAAGCACTTAAGCATATATGTAAATTCATTCCTTCCCAAAATATATTTAGCTTTGTGCTTCACTTTAAACATATTCTTATGCTGCATTTCCTTCAGCGAAATGTAAGTACTTGCTGAGGTACTTTTGTGGAATGAAGATCAGGTTAAATACTGCTGGCCATAATGAGAGATTAAAATCAGGGCCTTAACTAGGTTTTAAGAAATGAAAGACAACATTGTTTCTGAAAGGAATGACAGACTCCAAGACCAAATTCTGCCCTCGATATTGTAATACCAATACTTTGCTTTATATACCCAAAGGAAAAAAACTCAAACTGCTAAGTAAATACTAATAAATTAAGACTAAATTAAGTCTATGCAGCTAGCATTAAAAAATTCCATTCTGCACTGCAAGAACTATAACTCTGGATAAAAGTTGGTATTTTCTACTTGTGTGGCTCCCAATTCTGCCAGTATCCTAAATATTCAGGATCTTGATTTATTCTTTTATTAATATTCGTTATGAATGCTTCCACTCACATTTTCATCCTACATTACTATTAGAATCAACCTGGAGACTGGATAAATTTTTCAATAGAGCTGCATGCGTGTGGTACACAAATGCTCACATTTTTCATCACTGCTCCTACTCATGCTTCAAAATGCAGACTTGCTTACCTCCAGGGATTGCCAGAGAGCTTCGATTCTTGCGAATGCATGATTTTCACGGCGGATATCCTGAAAACATCGGAGTTCATAGAAATCACAGGGCTGCTATCATTCCTTGAAGACATAGAGCAGAACCACATTCCTTTGAGTGAAAAGTGACCCCCGGTGAGACAAATACGGTCTCAGAATAACAAAATCAGCACTGCAGTAAAAAAAAAAACAAAAACAAAACCATTACAGCAGAAGCTTCTAAAAGTTATGTTAGACACTGATTTTCACATTACTTGGGAGACAAGAAATAAAATTTATACTGCACAACTCTGCCACTTATAACTTTTTGATAAGTAAATGAGTGGTCAAAGAGAAACGTGCATGGCATTGCTGCCCATCTGCTCTCTGTTCCACTGGCCTTTGCTAACCAAAGAGTGGAATCAGGTGCTCAGATGAAAAGACAGAATGTGAAGGTCTACTGTCCTGGTTTCGGCAGGGATAGAGTTAATTTCCTTCCTAGTAGCTGGTACAGTGCTGTGTTTTGGATTTAGGAGGAGAACAAAGTTGATAACACACCCATGTTTTAGTTGTTGCTAGGTAATGCTTACACTAGCCAAGGACTTTTCAGCTTCCCATGCTCTGCCGACTGAGAAGGCTGGAGGTGCACAAGAAGCTGGGAGGGGGCACAGCCAAACTGGCCAAAGGGCTATTCCATACCATGTGACGTCATGCTCAGTACATAAACTGGGGAAAGCTGGCCGGGGGGGCCGCTGCTCGGGGACTGGCTGGGCATCGGTCGGTGGGTGGTGAGCAATTGTACTGTGCATCACTTGCTTTGTGTATTATTATCATCATTTTCTTTCAATTATTAAACTGTTTTTATCTCAACTCACGAGTTTTTCTCACTTGTGCTCTTCCAATTCTCTCCCCCATCCCACCAGGGCAGGGGGGAGTGAGCGAGTTGCTGACTGAGGTTAAACCACGACAGTCCTTTTTTGGCACCCAACGTGGGGCTTGAACCCATGACCCTGAGATTAAGAGTCTCATGCTCTACCGCCTGAGCTAGCCGGGCGGTTAAAGCCTCTTTGGTATGGAGGACGATGGCTGAAATATAAATATGGGGAGGCCTGGCAGATGGATTATATCACACTCCCACAAACCCGCCAAGGCAAGCGCCACGTGCTTACAATAGTGGAGGCAACCACCGGATGGCTGGAAACATATCCCGTGCCCCATGCCACTGCCCGGAACATCTACAAAGGGGGGGAAAGGAACCAAACGTAGCAAAAGGGAATTTCTGTTCCAAATTAAACTCCATAGTTAGAGAAAAAAAAATAAAAATATTTTTCAATATTGCCAATGCCAAACATGGGCATTTCCTTTAAGGCTTAGGATTCACCGGGCTGACAATACCGGAGAAATAGCCTTAAGATAGTATGCTGAAATTTTTCTGTAGTATTCGGTGTCTGGAATGACCTTCTAAATGTTGAAAAGGTTTCACTTCAGCATCTAAGAGCAACATCCTTTCCTTCCCTGAAACAAGTACACCACATCTCAAAACTAAAACTGGTCATCCATAAAGCTAATTGGGCTTCCCAGCATAAGATTATTTTTGGCCCCTTTCCTTCAAAAACGTTCTTGCTCTTGCTTCTTGTTGCATTACATTAAGAAATAGATCTTGCCATTTTGTAATTTATGTTTAAAGGCTTCATCTGATTTTGCACACTAAAAAGTAATGCCTCCTTTTTTATCTGGCAATTGTTGATGTATGATTTACATATATGGCTGAGAGATGATTACAGTCTGTGTGATAGTCACACCTCCCTGGACACATAGTTGCAGTTATTTTCTGCAAAGAAGTCTTCAAAACGAGATGTGCTTTTCTGGGTAAAGTGAGATTTAAGACATGTCTATGTCAGAAAAAACTATTGAAAAGAAAAAATGCCTTCTCTCAAGCATGCAAAGCCATTTGCACCCTTAAGTTCTGTGATTTTATTTCTTTAACATGAGTTTTTCAGAGAAGTTTAGTAAATTAAAACATAAAAAGTTATCTCCGAGACCACTAGACATCAGAAAAAGAATGTGAGGAGTGTTCTAATCCCAGAGGAAAATCTTCTTTAAGTGATGAAACCCTTGCAGTGGAAATCTTGGAAATCTCGGTGAGTGGAATCTCTCATTGTCAGAACTTTTAATAAAAAAGCAGCTGCAGATGCTGAAAGCATTAAATAAAAATTACCAACAAGCTGTCTTACCTGTGTGCACTCGACAGAAAGGAAGGGCAAACATGAGCAGGTAGTGCTTGTACATCAGTCAAAACTCTGACAGCTACCGTGTAACATCTGACAACACTGACATGTGCTGTACTCCCTAAGATATTCCTCTAACTGAACCATAAAAAGACAAATAAATTAGTAATAGTACTTTGCCTGTCAATGTCCTTTCTTGCAGACTTCTCACACTGTTGATTAGCATTGTTTGAAGTGATTCATCAATACATTTACTTTCTAAGGAAAAAAAGGGATACTGAATTATTTTATTACTTTAAAAAAACCAGCAAAATAAGAGGCACCTGATTCCTCATGATGGCTTTCTAGGAAAAGGACAGACAAAAGTCAGCATAATGCTTCCCTACTAGTCAAACATTACAGATCAGATCTTGTCTCCATCCTGCCGCGTTGCAGACAAAGCTCTCTTAAACCAAACCAGTATTCCTGCATAAGAAAGAAATCAGATGGTCAGCCACTACCTGTCGGATTTTGTCCATATGTCTGCTGCAGAGTAAGCCAGGATAACATTTTTCTGTAATAGTTTATTTTTTTAGAAATTAAATACACTTGTCAGTGAATTTTTTCTTAGTCTATCTTTTTGCAGCTTGAGGCATAACTGTGGTGAAAAAGAAGGTGACTGGCAGGGCCCTGAGTGAGCTAATGAGCATTAGCAGTCCTGACAAGCCTCACCCAGAGCCTCCACCCACAGCCCTGCCCATGGGCTCCATCTGAGCTCAGGCGTGGGCCGTGCCAACCAGAGAGAAGGAAATCTGTGTTAGTAAGAGGAATATTTGCACAAGTCTTTAAACCTTAATTGACATTTAATTTTGATGTGAAATATAACTGAATAACATGCTTTGGGGTTTTCAATTGCATTCAAGTCAAAGTTTGTCTTTAGAAAAAAAAATAATAAGAAGAGAAAAGGTCCTGAATGGATTGGTGTTTTCTCAGGGTGTCTGTGAACAGGCAGATGCAGCCTTTCATACGGACTCTGGTACTAAAAATATGGTTTATTGGTTAAAAAGTTATGCATGCAAATTAGGTGGTGCAGGCTTGGCTTTCAGCATATAATACAGGGTTTGTCTCCTAGAATAACCATAAAGCATATTATATATACACGGTTTACAGACATCCAGTTCTTACCTATGTTTTATATCTGTATATTATGCAATGGCTCCAGGCCAACAGAAAAAACTCGAAAACCAGTGTGAATCTGAGCTATTGCCAAAGACATTGTGTCCGCATTTCCTTGTTCTGCTCAGAGAGCACCAAACAAAGGTAATTTTTCCCTCTTTTTTTAATAATGATCCAAGTTCTCAAAAATATATTTGTATGGCATTTCAATTCTTTTGCTTCTATCATACATACAGTCTTTGCTACATATCATCCTGTTTAATAACGATTCAGGACACACAACCAGCTTTCTGCTTTAAGTTTTTCTGCTAGTATCTGGACTACATTATCATAATTGGACAAACCAAATAATCCTGATCTGCCCGGTTTATACAGAAAAGAAAATATTCAATTTTATGACATCTTCTATTTTTATTCTGTTCTTTTATGACTCACAGTATCAACCTAAGGAATAGAAAATGTGATCGCTGAGATTTGCATGTTACATAGATGCCTGACCACCATTGCAGAATTCTGCACCATTGCACTCCACCATTTAACTAGTGCATCCTGGAAACTCAACCTTTCTCACCATTGAGAAATATCATTCTGTATAGCATGAGGTGAAAAATTGTTTAGTCCTTCCACTGGGTTGTGGAATGCTGCTTATATGTTTAAGGGGTTGTGCTACTATTTAGTAAGACATTATTTAAACAAAGTTTATTCAATCATTGCCTGACTTTCTGAAGTTTTTGCACTTCCTATCTGGGACTAGACTGTATTTGTTATCTTTACATTCTGCATGGAGTCACATGAAAGCCACTGAAGTAATAGAATATCATACCAATCACTAAAAGCAGGAATGTCACAGTCAGAAAATATAGCTACTTATTTATAGTCTCAAATAAATTATATGTGCACACTACTGTGATTTACACGCCTCCTGTTTCACAGCCATGTATAGCTAACACTTCTACAACCACAGCACAAAAACTGCGTACCTTGTTCTTATCCATACTTGGTTGTTTATAGCTCTTCTAGATTTGCCTTCCCTCTAGTAGGTAACTGTTTCTTTTCAGTGTAAAGCAGGATGCAGTGCACACTTATGTTTTTCCTTGATTTAAATTCAGTGAGAGCATTCATTTGGCCTCTGGAACTAGGAAGTGTTCCCAGATTTCCTAGTCGTGGTTAGCCTGTGTATCTAGTTCTTTCTCAGCTGACTTATAAATGTTGCTTTGAGACTGTTATATTATGAGGTTTAAAATGTTTCCCGTGATTAACAACTGGTTGGCACAGTAATCAAAATGAACTTGAAGAGCAAGTGAAACATATTCACTTAGCCATCATAATGACATTTTAGGAACTTTTAAAACTTTATTTTCAGATTACTGGGGACTGTTTGTATTAGTGAGCACTAATCTTTCACTGCCTTGTCTTACCCATATGATTTCTGAAGATAATATATTAGCATCTAAAATGCCTCCAGGCTTACCTCACTTGAACTCTCTTAAAATTATGATGATTCTCCCACTGAGCAGCTATCTGCTTCCAGCAGCCTCTGAGTCTCAGTCTTATTTTTTGGGGAGTCAGTTTTCTTTTCAGCTATGAAAAGATCTTATATCCTCATTAACTCTCAATTATTTTGGGCCTTGTTCTGAAATCTTACTTTCTTCAGGTTAGTGAATACAGAAGAAATTTTTTATTGTGAAAACAGATAAAACCTTAAAAATTACTCCCTTTTATTCTTTATGCATCTAATAAAATTTCATGCATGTTAAGACTGATAGAAAAGTCTAAAGCTCCTAATTTGTCAAAGAAGTGTAGAAAAAAATCATAAATATAATTCTGATTTTCTGAATGGTTTAGGTCATTGGCATATATAAATTGGAAAGTCTTGAAAGCCATTTAGCTACTTATACTAAGAAATATTGGTATGTGAAGATTGTTTCTCATTTCAAAGAAACAATGTTGAGGGATTTTGTACGCCAACCTTACGATCAGCATTTACAACTTATTCTTTTTGTCATTACAAAGATCTAAATAAGCAATTTATACAAACCAGAATAAACTCAAAAAACCCCGAACACATGAATGCACATGTGTAAGAAGTTCATTCAAGCCTACCTACTAAGCATGAAACATAGTTGAAAGTGGAAGTAAAAGAGAACAGATGTACTGTCGTGGTGACATGACTAATCCAGGCTTACACTCTTGTTCTTCAGTTGCCATTGGGGTTAGTAAGCATACTTTATGTTACAGTCCTATCAAAAGGATATGTTATAATATGTTCTTGTTGAAAGACAGTCATTGGAAACCATGCAAAACGCAACCTCTTTCTAGACCTTTTCACCATCATATGCCCATCTCAGAATGTTTTATAAGCTAAACACTGCACAAAACAAGAAATATATTGCCTTTTTAAAGTGGTTGATTTAAAACTTTGCTTCTCCTTGGAGCAATCTTTCAATTTTGTGATACTTGATGTAGGGTTTTTGAAAATTTTGAAATTATTTTACTTAGCAACTAAGGCAATCATGACAACATTTTGTGAGTGCATGTGAGGTGTGTATGGTGCAATACATGCAACCTATGTTTCATTGGTTAGAGAGTATGGGCTTTATACATCTTACTTGAACCCATATCATAGGATTTTGCATGCCACATAAATGAAGCAAAAGACACCTTCAAGCCA